CAATTTTTTCAATTTTTTCAATTTTTTCAATTTTTCAATTTTTCCATTTTTTCCATTTTTTCCATTTTTTCCGTTTTTTTTTTTCGAGCGAAGCCACCTCTGAAACCGTGGTGAGGTGCATATATATTCCAGCCCCTATAGCAGCGAACCACACGGAATATCTTCCTTCTTGGTTCTTCCTTTCGGAAGAAGCACTCACTAGTGGACTTGACATCTCGCGCTGTTATGCACAGCCAAAAGCCGAAGCGAAAAGCAATAGCGAAAAGGAAAGAAGGAAAAGAGAAGGAGAAGAAAATATCGAGAGCTATGCTGTGTCTTGCTGTGTCTTGCTGTGTCTTTCTGTGTGTAGAACACGTCGGGAACGACTCGACTTTGTGGCGAGAGCGAGAGCGAGAGCGAGAGGTGAATCCTGGATCATGGAAATGACTGGATACCGGATACAAGTGACGAGAGGAGAGCGGCTCGATGGCTTGAAAAGTGATTGTCCCTGGTCGCTCTGTATTGTCGTGTTAAGTGGGCTGTGTGCTGTGCTGTTGCGTGGTGTAGTGTGGTAGAATCTTAGACCATATGTGTAGCTCTGCCAGCAGGTAGGTATATGTGTATGAAAATGTAAGTATGTAATCAGTATCAATAAATAAATTATGGAAAATACATTAGGGGTTAGGTACTACAACTTAGCTTGGGGTTAATTAATCTTCTCTTCTTCACTCTCTTCTTTTTATTCCTTTCTCTTTTTTTCTCCTAACTAGAATATTAAACATGAAAGCAGTATGGTCAAGAACTGTAAGTGGACCTAGACTAGGCAGTGTGATTATCGCTTAGCTCTTGCATGTTGAAATTTGGTTACCTGCTGCTTTGCAATATGCTTGATAGCCAGCTCGTTACTTAGCGCTGCTTGAGACTAAATACTCAAGTATGCGGCGTGGCAACAATAATGCTTCACCAAAACACATTGCGAAATAGAGAAAGCCCAGAATTATCGATACAGTTTGGTATTCCTGATCAAATCGCTAGCTATGGAATATACAGTCCAGGTGATTCCGAAGGAGCCTCCCTGATTCTATGACCTGGGAACAGAGCGAACGCTAAGGGGGTCGGCCTATGCGAGAGGCAGACCAGACCAGATGTAATTCTTATGAGGGGAGTGGTGGAAGGGAAAGAGGTAAAGTGAAGGGTAGTAGTTCTGGTGAAGACGCAATGCTCGTTCAACGCTTTATGCAATGCAGGGGTGAAATATTCAGAAGGAAAGGTAAGGGAAAGACAAGAATAACCGAACAATTTGAACTTGCAATAGCTGGCGGAGCAGCTTGGCCCAATCATGGATTTGAACAGGTAATCTGGCCTGATCAAAAGAAAAACCTTAGCCATCTTCCAGAACACCATTTTAGAGGCTTGTCATAAATAAACTCTTCAAGTTGCAGTACGAGAGTGCACCCCTGGATGTATTGATGTCCTGGGTGGATCGGGTTGGACTTCCATTTGGCGAATCGATGGAGGCGCAACAGGGGACGGTGGAGGGGGATCGTCCTGGGCGTACTCATCCTCGTACTCGTCTTCGTAATACTCTTCACTTTGCGTACCCTGGCTTTGGCTTTGGTTCATGGCAGCAGGTTGGTGGTGTTGAGCTTGTTGGTCTTGTGTTGGGGCAGTAGCCTTCGGTGCAGCCTTGTTTCCCTTCTTTCCTTTCCGTCCCTTCATCTTAGCCTTTTCCAAGAGTCTCCGTCTCTCCGCCTCTTGCTTCCTCACTCGTCTGTCTTTGATCTCGTACTGCCTAATCAAAGCCTCAGGTGGAGTGCCAAAGATACGCTCATACTCGCAGAATTCGCAGATCCAAATCTCTTGTGGAGATGGAGGATGGTGATAGTTCTGGAGCTCTTGCTGGTGGCGACGTTGACGAGCGGCGAGGAGGTATTCCTTGCCTGTCCGACGACGATTCTTTTTAGGCGGTGCTTGCTTCTGACCGTTCGGCGCATGCTGGGATGCTGCGGGGCCTTGCTTTGCTGACGCTGCTGTGTTGGGTCCATGGCCTGCTGGCATGTTTGGGCTTGTTTGGGTGGCGTGTGTACTCGTGCGAGCTGCTGGACTAGGGCTCACACTACTTGGGCCGGGCCAAGCAACTGGAGCAGGGACCTGGGAGTCGCAGGTGAAAGTGAATTGTGCAGAGGCAGGACTAGACTTCTTTGAAGCTTCTTGTTGCAAGAGACTGAAGCTCTCCTGACCTCGAGAGGGAGTGATTGGGGTCCTGTCGGCGTTCGCATTGGCAATTGATCTAGAGATAATCCCTGGCGATTCGGCTTGAATAAGGAGTCAGTGAATAGAGCTGGAAAATTAGTCATCAAAGGCTTACTGGAGGGTGACCACTGAGGTTGTCTTTGCTTTGTGGTACGTCCGTTCCCCCAATTGCTTGAAGCATCAGATAAGTTTCTCAAAGGGCTCCTGCCGTTTCGGACTCGACCATATCTTCCTCTGCCAGGACCAGAGATGCCTTGCCCATTGCTTAAGACTTGATATGATCCAACCCCAGCATCTTCTCCTAAATCCTCTGGGCCAGCTACGCCTACTACGTCATTTGAAAGGTGAACCCCATTCAGGTTCGAGTCACCTGGGGTGGGAATCTTTCTTTTTTTCTTGTTGTTTGTATTCTCGAAAGAGTCGTAGCCGTCTGCCGAAGAGGCAGCAGAGCCTGGTGGATGGGGGCGAGGATTCGGGTGTTTGGAATCTGGCTTCTGAACATAGCGGAAGGATCTGCCTGTGTTGTCTGCAGAGTGTCTTGAGTAGACCCGACTGCGATACCCAGCCTCGGCCTCGTCCTCCTCACTGTCCAACTGCTCCCCGTTACGTCTCGAGACATAGTTACGCTCAATCTCATCAGCTCTTTCACGCTCGCTCGGATGCTGCGATTCTACAAACCCATTCGAACCAGCCTCTTCTCGAATGCCATAGGGGTGGTAAAATAGCGGCGTAGTAGTCTTGGGTGTCGGAGGGTATTTGATCGTATGCGCTACGTCTGGGGATAATCGCTCACGTAGACGACGTTTTGGCAGCGGTCGGATTGGCCGATCTGGGTACGGGGAGGTAGCATCTGGAGACGTGTCTCTGGGCGAGTTGGGAGAGTATCCTAGAATGGGTTCGAAGAAGCCAAATCAGCCAACGGAAAACACTGATATAATAGACCGTCATGTTTTGCAAGTTTTCATGCGGGAGGCAGAAGTGCAAACGGATAAGTAGTGGTAGGTGCAAAGACAAGGAGCAAAATGGCGTAAAAGCATACCCATCACCGACGCAGCCATTGCAGTCAGGACTCCAGCCAGCAGCACTGAATTCCTCCCTCTTTGCAAAGCAGCCACTATCTGCGAGACTCCAATCTGTTTGACAGCCCGGATCCCGGAAGAGGATCTTATGTTGCCCTCCTGGAGTACCCCTAACGTGCCCACTACCAGATAAATAAATCAGCTCAAGATCTTTCACAAGAAAACACGGTCCCAGATGAAGATTTCCAGCAGCCCCGTTGAGCTGAAAACGTTTGAGATAACCCAAGTTCTGTCCCCAGGTTGGGATGGTTGGAGATAATTTCAGAGGATCCGTACATACCTCTGACAGCAAAGCGTCGACAACTTGCAAAGGACCAAGAACAGCAGCCAACAAAGGTGTATGCAAGGAAGTCGTCGATAGGAGGAAAGCAAGAGTAAAGCCGGCTGATGAGATTTGATATGAAGGCAAGGAGAGGTGAAGTGTTTTGATTTGTGTTTTTTGATTTGTTTGGTTTCCGACATACGGAGTTGAGGTGAGCTGGCTTGGGCTGGGTCGGGTCGTAGATTGGAGTGGTGTGGGTCTCCACAAAGACGATTCTGGTCCGTGCTGCTCCATTTCCTCTACGGCCGGCCATTTTCCTGAGGGCGCATTTCCGATCTCCCCCCGCTGCGCTCGCTGTGAGCGGCAGCTCGAGACTCTCCCTCCTTCTTTTTGCACTCTACAATACGCACCCCTCCTCGCCGCCGTCATGATCACTTCAAGCTCCCAAGATCCTCGTTGTCCAATTCCGCTCTACCAAAAAGCCCTCTAGAATAAATATTCAACACTGCTTCGAATCCCACTGTTCCTGTTTCCGCCTGCGCTGAAGCTCCTCGACTTCTCACGCTCAACTTCCGACTCCCTTCACCAACCACGAGCCCGCCTTTTCTAGCAGCGCAATTGGGATACAAAACACCGATTAGCACGAAATCAACCGCAATTTACAAGCCAGGCACTTGTTGCAATGGACACAGCCAGACGTTCTTCGAGAGCTGCCCGGTCCAGTCAGCCTCTACAATCCGCCTCCCAACACTCCTCTACCTCTTCGAACTCATCTGGTCGCGCAGACAGGGCTACTCGATCACACAACAAAGCCGAATCGCCGCGCAAGTCAACGCCCTCGGGCTCATTGTCGTCGGATCCCCCAGATGACACCATCAGGGCCGTGGTCGAGGACGCTGTCCAAACACGTCGAAAGCGCGGTCGGGGTGAAGATCAGGTGAAGCAGGTGAAGATGCTAGCTACCGAGCCCGAAATAATGAACGGCACAGACGAAGTAGGAGAGGACGACGAAGCCGTTCGTTGCATATGCGGCTTCGACGAGTACCCAGGCCCTCCACAGGTTGCCGAAGAAGACAAGAAGACGGGGATTAAAGAAGGATTAGAAGATCCTATGATCACATCGGCAGATGTAACAGAAGACTTGGCCGGATTCTTTTTGCAATGCGACGTCTGCAAAGTCTGGCAGCACGGTGGCTGCGTGGGAATCATGAACGAAGATACAAGTCCAGATGAGTACTTTTGCGAAGAATGTCGGAAAGACCTGCACAAGATTTTCACCGCCTCCAATGCGTAAGTAACGCTCTGAATGCTCAGAAGTTTAGAATGCGTCAAGTTTTCCGCGCCGACGCCAGAGCGTGGCGCAGATCAGTCTCACAAGGCTGGCTCATTCAAATTATGCCTCATACTCAAGATCCGGGCGTTTCGCTAACATGATGAAATGTAGGCAAAGATACTCGCAATATCTACCTCTATACCCAACTTTATCCCGAACGACTTCTCGAGCAGCATCATTTTCGAAGGATGGCACGCGGTCTCCCCGAGGAAGTAAAAGTGGCAGACCATCCTCCAGTCTACAGAGCACAGCAAAGAGGAGATCAACTATGAACAGCAGAGATGCGGCGTATGACGAGGCGGCAGAATTGCAGCGCGCAATTGAGGCGAGCAAAGGTCAGAAGAGTGAAAGTACCGACGGGGGAACCACAAGGCGCGGGAAACGAGGACGTAGCGATAGCGAAGAGTAAGCATGGCCCTTCTTTAATACAAATCCCAGCTGCTGACGATTTCAGGAAACCCGAGGGGCCAAAAAGACAGCGGACAGCATCAGCGTCTCCGTCGCCTTCTCCTTCCCCGTCGCGAGAGCCCCAACACTCTACACCTCAGGCAGATTCCGACGATGGGGCGAATGGGGCGAATGGGGCAAATGGGGCAAATGGGGCAAATGGGGCAAATGGGGCAAATGGACGACCACCCGGTGGAAAGAAGATTCGAGGCGCTGCGGCGCGAAACCACAAGGAGAAGGAGTTGCGGGAAGAACGAGAGAAGTCGAGACAGGAGGCAGCGACTAAACGAAAAGGTCGTGCTGAGCGTCGACGTGTCGAAGGTCAGTCTCGCGATGTTCACGCTACGAGAATCATGCTAATTAAGGATCTCAGAGGCGGAAACATCAGAAGAGGCTCCACTTGCGCAAAGAAATTCCGTGGCAAAGAGTGCAGAACCGACTGCACCACCCGTGGATCCTCCACCATCGTCACAGCCTATAATCCCTGACACACCTCCTGCTATACCACCTCCAGCTTCCCACAAGAAAGGTGGCCGGCCGCCAAATGCCCGAAAGGGAAAGCTGGGAAAGAACCAGTATACAAAAGACCGAGATATTCCAGAACCAGATGCCCAATCACCGAACCGTTCGCAATCGCGAGACGTTGGAAAAGTGGAAGAGACCGTGCATACCACGACGAACAAGGCATTGAACCACGAGGGAAAGGTTGGGAAATCGAAGGCTGTTGTCAGCAAAATTACAATGACGGATATGAGAAGAAGAGTGGCAGCCATACTCCAATTCATATCACGGACGGAATACGAGTTGGGCGATGCGATATCGCATACAACCAGTCATACCGCCGAGAAAATGATCCGTGGCCTGGCTGATGGCCTGCCAATGATCAAAGTCAACGGCGAAAACGGTGCTAGTTCAAAAGAAGGCGGATCCGGGGCGACGGCCAGGGAGTTTAAGGACCTTTCTTGCAAGGAAATGATTGTCGAGTTGACTAAACAGCTACTGAAATGGCAAGACGAGTTCGCTTAATAGGTCGGGCTATCGATTGGAGGATAAACTATAATAAGGGGAGTTTGTTCGTGGGGTCTCTTTGGTTGGCCGGCGCTTAACGAAAGGCTACTTATGATGATGATACCCCTCTCCATCTTCGGGGGGTGGCAGGTTTCTGTCTATCTCTGATAATGACCAGAACCCAATACCTTGCTGTACCCGGAGCAACGAATAATACTCATAACAAATACCAAACGTTTTAATCAATCTTTGCGTAAACAATAATATTGTGAGCTGCATGTCAATTGTGTTCTGGGACATTAGACCTGCAAGATTTATGCTTGATATCCGAGGACTGTTGACATGCTCGCTAAGGATCATACCATTGAGCTTAATCGCATCTGTCTCCAAAGAGTCTGAGACTTTTGCCGAAACATACAGGATACAGAATGCTCAAGACCACCTTCATGGATGTCTTTTCGCCTATCTGGAATCAAGTCTTATGGTTGACGGAACTGCACCCGAAAAGAATATAAGGGGATATTCGCCCGCCTTTCGTCTCCAATTTAGCCATGGCCGTTCGTGCCTTTCACGTATCTAGCTAGCCGGTGGGTTTCACGAGAAGACCTTTACTGTACTCTAGTTCAACGAAATTCAACTTCTGCATTGAATAGAGTATCGAAAAAGAGGGTAAGGGAAGGGAAGGGAAGGAAGCCGAACAAGTATATCTTGCGCCCCGAGGTTTGTCTTGAATTGTTGAACTTTTCCTGGCTACGTGCTTTACCGGCGTGTTGAATTCAGGTAGTAAGTGGGCTGGAGATATACCTGCTTTGATCTCGTGGTATTGTGACGTTCACTGTGATTTTTTTTAGTGTACATTTTGAGCTCTTGGTAGTGCTGGTGCTGATGTTACAGGATCCATCAGGATGCTGTCAACGATTGATATATAGACCGAAAGCTGATTTGGATCTGCCCACTGCTCTGACGATCGCCTTTCTTCCTACTCACATGCTATACGGGACAGTCAGCTAGCTGCACGTACCGTAGTCGGCTGTAGTTCGTTTCATAGAGTTTTCGCTACAGGTCGCAGCTTTTGTTTACATCAGTAAGCCACAGGAATGGGAATGAGTGACTGCTATGCATTCACCCTTTGATCACTTGATAGGCAGTTTTCGAGAAGGCATTTCGTTGCACGCCGCAGTTTCGTCCTTCAATAAGGTAAGAGCAAGGGGGCTACAGAGCAGAAGCGAGCGCTTTCCTATCCACCTTTGCCAGTGTAAGAAAGGTTTTGTTGCATGTCGCAGTTGTAATCTTTTGAGGAAGGGGCAAAATTCTGGAAGGAGCGAATGTTGGTCGCCTCGAAAGAGTTTAGTTGCATGTCACAGTTGTGTACTCTCTTAGGAAGGAGCTTGATTCTAGGTGGAAGGAGCGAAAGTTGGTGGCCCTGAAGGGGTTTTGTTGCACGTCGCAGTCGTGAAACTTTTTAGGAAGGAGAATACTTCTAAGTGGAAGGAGCCAACGTTACTCGCCTTTATTCACTACATGATTTCCGAATATATTTTTGTTGTATGTGGCGGTTTTGTTTACTTTCGTTGTCTACCTAAGTGAGATCAATTTTGCGCCAACCAATCAGGAGAATTTCCTATGTTGGTGCGGAAGGGGTTGGTTTGGTTTTCTTGCAGGTCGTGGCCTTTCTTTACTTTGGTAGGGGAGGAGCTGGATTCGATAGGGAAGGGGAGGGAGGGAGGAGAGAGCTGACGCTGTCTGCCTCTTGGTTTTTTTGTTTAATGGTTGAGTACATTGTTATCTAATTCCTGGCACGATGAATTCTTGGATTCAGTCAGTCTTTCTGTTAGGATAGTATCGCTACGGCTCAGGTCTTGACTCCGAATTGACCATGGATCGGCACTTACCACATGTATCCACAGACTCGATAGTGTTGTATTAAATAGATGTGGACTGATGCGATTTCAGACGTCTAGGCGAGGATTGGACCGGCCATTCGCGGATAATGCACGGGGGAGAAGAGACGAAACTCGAGAACAGAATGTCGGCTTTGCAAGGAATCGCTAGCTATTTTCCAAAGGACAAGCATTGCTGGGTGAGGGGAAGCTGTCCGTCACTTAGATCTCCGAGACTTTCAGGAGGTTTTTGGAGCGATGTTGCCTCTCTTCTCCACAAGTTGATGTCTCTGCTGCCTGTGCCAAGTTGAAAAATATTTGTATGGCTTTTACTCGAGTTTAGTAAAGTCTCAGTTCAGGCCTGAGGAGCACTTGAATCGACTCCGAGCTAGTCGCCATGGTTGGGGAGTTGAAGCTATCAAGACCGGGGTAACTTCTCGATAGCATCTTCCTGTGTCTATCGGTATCCGTTCCTATCTGCTTCGAACATTGAATTTACCCAGAGCCTATGACTAACCTCGTGCCCGGTCTAGTCTTTAAAAGCAAACTCTGATTATCTTAAGCTGGGAAGTACTTCTTATATCCTCGTCTAGATGACATCACATAGCGGTGTCTCTTGGTCGGTCTTGAGAGCTTGTCGATCTTGATCGAAATTGTTTTTATTCGTAGTTAAAATGTGTTGCTAGGTAAAGTGTAAGGTGAGAGCGTGGTCCGTGCACAGTGCACGGACACCTCAGCCTTGGCATGCTCCCACTACAACCTCGCCCCCAATTCCTAGTCTTAGATAATACAAGTCATTCAACCACACATATCAGAAGCTTCCTCGTGACTGCACTATCATCATCTAGATTGATACCAGCAATAGGTTATGAGCCCCGAAGCCTGATTCAATTCATTCCAAGGTATTTCCAGACTTCAAACACCCTTTTCGGCGTGTTGGAATACTTACCCCTCCCCTGACAATTCGTCACCGTGGCGCGCGATTCGTCAGAACGCGCTTCCACAGCACCCCTCGTCGCAATTGATTCTCAGTTGCAACCTGCTGGTGTAGCGATAGGTGAGGCTAATACTAGCGGTTCCCCAAGCAAGAAGCAAAGGGAAGCTGCAGTCAAGGCAAACCTAGCTATACAGCAACATCAATATACTACGAAGAGAGGAAAGGCGGCAGAGGAACTGCCTGCTTCAGAGAAACCATCATTGGTGCTTGAACCTGGAATCTCTTCATCACCCCCTCAACCACGCTACCCAACGCTACCAGACGTAGGAAGCTCACCATACGTGGCAGCAACTCTGCCTGAGGTATACCCTCAATTCTTCCCCGAGGCTAACAAAGGTGAACTCTCATCCAGTGAAGACGAGTTTACTACTCCCTTAAAGAAGATCTCTAGGTCGCTAGCGCGCTCAGTCGACAGCGAACCTCCCCCTCCTCCGAGTCCTCCGAGTCCTCCCGAACCACTCACTACGACTATACCTATACGTCGAAAGAAGATGAGTTCGAGCCACAGCCTCAACCTACCCGAAGCTTCAAAGCTGAAGGGAGGTGAGAACTATTAGCAATGGAAGGATAAGGTGATCAATATTGCCAAGTCCAATAGGATTAGTAAATACATCAATCCAAAGTCTAGGTCTTTGATACCTATGGAAGTCGACGAATGCGACGACACAATCAAGGCAGAAGACCTGCAAAAATAGCTGGATTGGGATACCAGAGAGTCACAAATGAAGCTTGCAATTACCTTGAATTGCAAGGCTGGTCCTTTAAGACACACACAAGGTAAAGCCACTGCCCTAAATATGTAGGAGTCTTTACGACATTAGTATAAGGGTTCTGGTACGGTCTTAGAATACAACGCTATTCAGACCTATATCACAATCAAATACGACGATTACCCTTCTTTAGAGAAGTTCGTGATAGCATTCAAGATTGCAATTACGAAGCTTGATTCGCTAGATATTGCGCCGCCCTCACAATGGAATCCCGTGATGTTTATCGCTGCCTGCTTAGAGAAATGGCCTATTTGGGCTGAGCGCTAGAGATCGAATCTACGGATGGCGACTACTATACAAAAGAAGGCAGAAATCACCCTCGAATCTCTTATTAAGGACATCACCGACGAGGCTCGAGGCAGCGACTCAACCAAAACAATCAATGGTCAGGCCTTGTACGGTAACAAATCAAACTCAAACTCGAACTCGAATAACTCGAATGCGAACAACAAAAGAAGAAACAAAGGTAGCAATAGAGGTGGAAACGCAGCAAACAAATCGAAGCTACAATAAGTTGCAGACAAGAGACCTGATTGCAAGCACTGCAAGCAGCCCAAACCTCTACACCCCCTTGAGGATTGCTTCGTCATCAACAAAGAGCTACGAGAGGCGTTTGAGAATAAAACTAGCAAGAAGGCTATCTTATACTTTAAGCGTGTTGAGAACAAGAAAGGTGGAAGAAACAACAACAAGAAGAAGGACGATGAGGAAGTTGACGGAGAGATCTTTTCCCACGCGCTCCTTCTTATTGAGGAACTTCCAGTTGATGCTAGTGGCACAGCACTCTACACGTCGTTAAATAAGAATCGTTGGCTCTACGATATAAGAGCAACTGATCACGTTTGCAATGATCTCTCTAAGTTTACTGTTTATACAGCTAAAGAGGATCTACCCTTCATGAATACTGTGGGAGGCCTAGTTCGCCCCTTTAGTATTGGCATCTGTGTCATCAAATGCTTTAGATCGCGAGGCTTGGCAAGCGTCATTAAGTGTAAGAACACGCTTTACATGCCCTAAAGTCTCGTTAATCTGTACTTAAGCCTGAAGTTGAGCAAAATCGGTGGTTACTTGAAAGGAGGTAAGTTGCTTACGGCTACCGATAAAGAGATCTGTAAGGTGGATGTCAAGTTGTTTATTATTGAGGATGACTCTTGCGCACCTTCTGCTTTTGTCACCGGCTATGCCCTACTTGCAGCCATTGAGAAGGCTTCTATTGATATTAAACTCTAGCACAGACGTATGTGCTATGCTGGCCTACAAGCAGTTCGCGACACTCAAGGTAGTGTTGTAGGAATGAAGTTCAAGGAGACCAAAACTGGTAAGACACGTGTTTGCGCCCCTTGTGAGAAAGGTCGTCCTTTTAAGAAGACCAATAAGGTGTCAGCACGCAAGAGACCTACGATTGCTCTACAAGAGCTATACGTAGATGTGGTCCATTTGACTCCTACTGGGATTCACGGTCACAAATACGCCTTAATCTTCATTTGCCCAGCTATAATGGCTAAGTAGGGATACACTTACGCAGTCAAGAGTGACGCTTTCATGGTCAACAAGAAGATGATTCGCCTTGCTAAGACTTAATACAATCGCACTATTAAGGTGTGGCGCTGCGACGGAGGTAAAGAATACTCTTTTAAGCAGATGAGAGAGTTAGCAGACCACCTAGGTATGTTACTTGAGGAATCGACACCTTACACCCCCGAGCAAGACGGTAGATCGGAGCGATCTATTCGTACTTTAATGGAAAAGCTACGCACCGCAACCATTGATCAGGAGATTCCTGAGTTCTTATGGCCCGAGTGCTTGATAGCAGTAATCCATATCACTAATCTCACAGCTAACACTGCCCTTTTGGATGGAAAGACCTTTTACGAGGCTTTCTGGGATGACATTGAGCTAGGGGTGATCTATAAACCTTCGGTCAAGCACCTGCGAGTACTCGGATGCAAAGTCTACGTCTTAATTGAGCCTGAACGCCGCGTACAAAGTCGCAAACTGGCGCCTAGAGCTGAGGTCGGAACATTGGTTGGTTTCGAGGGCAGTAATATCTAGAGAGTATACGTTCCTTCTCGATCTGGTGAGAAGGTGGTTCGTACCTCTTATGTTCGTTTTGATGAGGATGGACTCGTTACCGAACCTACCTTTGAAGAAGAGGAGGAGGTGCTACCTAGAGCTAAGGGTGACCAAGTTGACCGTAGTCAGCTTACCTTTAGCTAGCACAACCAGGATCAAGAGTCCTTTAGAGGCCTTGATCACTACGTCCAGGATGGACTAGATTTCGATAATAATTTGGAAGAGACTGAGGACGAGGAGGCTACCGATAAGCTCTTTGAACCTTATAGAGCTCTTTCTCCAAACGATGAGGAGGAGGTTGAGGAGGAGGTCGAGGAGGAGGTTGTTCCCTTTGAGGTAAATGATGAGACTCTAAAGGCTCTTACCATTCGGAGACCACGCAAAATCTACCCTTAGGTTCCCCTTTCGGAACGAGTAAATACTCGGTCCAGCACTCGCAACGCTGCTGCAGCTCCATCAGCAAACGTAATCATTAAGGAAGGAACTAATACAAACACCTACCAATGGACTTACTTCAACGCTGCTGAGGAGTCACCATTTGCAGACGATCTTCAGACCATGGAAGAGGCTTTTGCACGCTTAGATGCAGATAACTAGCGCTAAGCTATTATCAAGGAGTACTTTGCTCTTCGACGCAAGGAGACGTGGTCAATTATGAAGAAGCGTGATATCTTTAAGGGTGGACGTATTCTAGGCTCACGTCTATTATTTAAGACTAAGAGAGATGAAAACGGAAAGATCGAGCGATACAAAGTGAGATTCGTGGTCTAAGGCTATACATAGCAAAAAGGCCGTGATTACGATCAGACCTTCGCTGGAGTATGCAAATCAGCTGTTTGGAAGCTTGCAATTGCTTTAGCCGCCTTGTACGACCTGGAGGTCCAACAGTTCGATGTTGACATTGCTTTCTTGAATAGTGAAGCTGATAGCGACATCTATGTCAAAGCTCCACCAGGATGGGTCGAATTCGGCTACACTCTTACTAATGAGGACTGCTTAAAGCTACGCAAAGCTCTGTATAGCCTTAAACAATCACTACGCCTTTGGCAGAAGTTGCTACGAGAGCGACTTGCTAAGCTAAGATTCGCCTTTATAGAAACTGACAACTGTGTCTATATCAATAGAGACTTTAGAATCATGGTTGTTACGTATGTTGACGATTTCTTAGTAATCGGCAAATCGGGTCTAGTTTACGAGCAATTCAAGAAGGATCTGCATAACCTTTTTAATATCACTTGCACTAGCGAGGCTTCTTACTTCTTAAGAGTTAGAATCGTTAGAGACCGAGCAGCTGGCATTATTACCTTGTGTCAAGACGCCTATATTGACAAGGTGTTGGACCGTTTTGGTATGTTTAATTGCAAGAGTGCACTTACACCTTTTGCAAGTGGCTCCGAGGTTCACATGGTCAAATTCGAAGGCCAAGCTACTTAGTATGAGATTACACTGTACCAGTCAATCGTTGGCTCCTTGCAGTACCTCGCAACTCACACTCGGTGGGATATTGCTTACTACTGCTCTTTATTAACCAAATTCTTGATTAATCCGTCACCTCAATATATGGCTGCCGCTAAGCGCGTTCTATAGTACTTACAAAGTACTTGTATGCTGTCAATTGTTTTTAGTGGAAAGGACGCTGAGCTTACCAAATTGGTAGGCTATTGCGATTCTGACTGGGCCGGCTCTAGAATGGGTCGAGTCTCACACAGCGGAGGAGTATTCTTCTTTGCAGGAGGCGTTTTTAACGTTATTTCTAAACGCTAGACTATTATAGCTCTTTCCTCAACCGAGGCTAAGTACGTAGCTATGTGCAAATTCGCTCAAGAGGCCGCCTGGATTAGGCAGGTACTCAATGAGGTTAGCTATAAGAAGGCTGACGCGAAGAAAATTGAGATGATTTGTGACTCACAAAGAGCACTCTCACTCTCTGAAAACCTTGAATACTACTAAAGAACCAAGCATATCGACATCAAGTTCCACTACGTACGCCATGAGGTGGCAGAAGGACGACTCGACTTGTGGTATATTCCTAGCAAAGAGAACGTCGCCGACGGTATGACAAAGCTACTGAATGATACAGATCACGCTGCTTTTGTACAACTGCTTCGAATGAAGGTGCTGAAGCTATAGAGCTCAGCAAGGGGTGTTTTCTTAGCAAGGGGTGGTAAGGGTGTGTCATGGAAGGTTTTCTCCTCCTGGAAGTCGTACCTGCTACATTCGGTAGAAATTAGGTAAACTGTGCTCTTGGAGGTGTTTTTACTTCTACTTTACAGAAAAGGTATATTAGTTTAGATACAATTGGGGTACTGCCGAGAGCTTTTGAGGCCTCGACAGAGGGGTGTGTTGCTAGGTAAAGTGTAAGGTGAGAGCGTGGTCCGTGCACAGTGCACGGACACCTCAGCCTTGGCATGCTCCCATTACAACCTCGCCCTTAATTCCTAGTCCTAGATAATACAAGTCATTCAATCACACATATCAGAAGCTTCCTCGTGACTGCACTATCATCATCCAGATTGATACCAGCAATAAAATGGTTACTTTTTGCCAAAAGGAATCCCTCAGTGGATACTGAATGTCTCCAGGCGGCGTCTCTGTGGACGGTATCCAGTTCAGTCCGGCCATTTTTCTCAGGGGTATCTCGCTTAGTGTAAGCAAGTAACGGCAGGCAATGTCAACATCGATCAGCCTCACCCCTACCCAGAACTATCAAAAGAGATGTGATATTCTTATATACTCGTTGATATCTAATATTAGGAAGTAGGTGTTTAGTACAACAAAACAACAGTAAAAAAGGGTTTGTATATAGATAGATAGGTTCTGCCGAAATCTATTTAAATGTTTTGATCTACCAATGGCTTATGGAAGATGTTTACATATTAGACACATTCTTTGAAAAGAGACGAATCTGCCGGGCCGAAATTGATCGGCTTTCTCTGGATTACGCTTTGATAACTACATATCTCCTAGATATATGGTACGCCTGTACTGATGCTAATCCGCCCTTGTTGGTACAGCAGCTGGGGAAGAGGAGTGACACCAACTAGTGGCTGGGATGGAACTGGTATTGCTGGGTTTGTCAGTCTGCTTTTTGCCAGATCTGGTGCTTCGTGCATTTAGTTTTTAAGATATACCGAGACAATCTTCTGGTTTTAGGAGCAAAAAAAGGAGTGCAACTGGACATAGACTTACTGTTAACCACGTGCGGATAAGGCTCGTTAGATTCCGCTTTGTGAAGATGTAGAGCAAGGATAGTAGGCACGCGTGATGAGATGTCAAGAGTGAAGAGATATATCTGTCGAAAATCCGTGGGCAATAAGAGAGCCTGACATAGTTTTGGCTTCAACTCTGCCAAATGGACAGGTCGGAAGGAATATCAGGGCATGTACTCAGTTGAAGCACCGTCAGTCGAGGTCACCGAGTACGCAGAGAGTAGAGCACTCGATCTTTCTGGGGTGTTCGTATCCTGACATAGCTCATTCCTCGCCTTCCTCTTCATCCTCACTAACTTCCTCTCCCGCCTCAATAGCCTTCTCTCTCCTCCTCGCGGCCCTCGCTCTCTTCTTCTCCAACAGCTTCTTCAAATTCTTGGCCACATTGAATACCCCGCCCGTTCCCGTCCCACATATAGCACAACTCGGATCCTTCCTATATCGCTTCAGTGCACAGCTCTCGCAGAAGTAATGCCCACACTTTGTCACAATGGGATCCTTGTACTTCTCCTTGCATATCACACACGCAAACGGAATTCCTGCCAGCGCCTCGTCCTCATCCCCAGAGTCTTCTTCCTCTGCATTGCGGTCGGCACTTGCTATCTTCGTGCCGCCAATGACTTTCTTTCCCTTGGTGACATTCTCCCATTCCTTGTCGAGTTGCCAACCGGCTTTATAGTCCTCTCTAGCGTGCAGGTATTTGCAGTTATCGCCAAAACCGCAGAAGCCTGTTTGTTTGTAATCTTTGCAGACGTCTGGCGCAAAATCCGTGACGGTGATGGTGCGGATGTTGGTAGGGGCCTTTACTGGGCCGACAATTCGATTCGGCGCATCGGGGTTCTTTTGGATGAATTTAGTGGCGTTTGCCAGACCCTTATACGTTCCCTCGGCTGGCGCAGCTCTCGTGCTGCCCAGCAGGTTCTTACTGGAAAGTGCATCGGTGGCATTCTCGTCGTACCAGTTGGTCTGCTTGGTAGCGTCGTTGGAGCTCTTGATGGTGGCGCTGCGGTCGGCGGTAAACTTTGTTACTGTATGGTCGGTGGTGTTTGAGCTGCTATCCTTGGAGGATACGGTGACGGCGCCGGTGTTCTTCTTTCTGCGTTTGATCTTGCGCCCGGAGTCGTCTTCTTCGGAGGAGTAAGACCCGGAATCGCTGTCTGAGGCCGGGGGAGGAGTGGCGGCGCGTTTCCTGAAACTAGGTTTGCCGCCGCGTTTCTTGAAGAGTGCTACGGGAGCGGCGGGGGTTGGTTCTGTGATATCCATCTGCAGGTAGGGGGTGGTCCATGAGATGGATGAGGTTGGGCTGGGGCGAGGCTGTTGGAAAATCATCAGTACAACATGCCTTGCATATAAGGCAAGGCACCTTTAAATTCGACGGATTAACCCTCGGGCTCATGTCATGTCCAAGCCCATCAAGTTCGGTAATTACGTCGTCAATGCGAAGTGTGATAGAATCTCAAGGGAACGTTGTCGATAATCTGGTTTGTTTACTATTTTGGATTACAGTACGTGCCGTGCAGCAGAAAACAAACAAACAATCCACTCACTCACTCACTCACCCACTCACTCACTCACTCCCGCTGCTACCGTAGCTCTCTTTCTACAGTATTAAGTACGCCAACCAGGCCAATCCTTGGATTACTTGCCTCCCCCCTTGGCTCGCTCTTCTCGCGATTTGCAGATTTTTTTTCTTTCTATTATTACTTACCCGGCCACCCCGTCGCTCTTTCCTTCAATCACATCAGTATCAGGTCAGGCTAGATCTATCGAGCTCATGTCTCCGTAACTTTCGCTGTCGCTGTCGCTGTCGCTGTCGTCGTCGTTTTAGCTCTGCCGTTGTCGCACCGCTAATTCTCATCGTTTACTTGTCTCAGTCTCAGTGGGAAACTGGGCCAGCACTGGCAGTGAGCACTACCGGTACTCAGGAACGCGCCCGCCCCTGCCTGGTGCCAATCAACAATCAACAACTTGCATTTTCATAACACCACCACCACCAGTGAAACAACACGCTCCTTTGTGCCCGCCACGGAGTCGCACTGTTCGATTCCCCATCTCGACTTCCAACAAGTCACAATTACACACACGGCCAGCGAACGCCCTCCGATCTTCAATATTGGCCGGCCTGTAGTGTGTGGAAGCGGGATAGTAGAGCGCAGGTCCAGACCGTGGCATCTCTTTACGTCTTGGGAAGCGTTTCGATCGCAAGGGCCTCTTCCACCGCAGCTTCTTGATCTGTAGCTTGCAGGATGGCTTCTTACCTCGCGGCAGATCAGCCGTACCTGGCATCGCAACCTGACGCGATACCCCAAGATCAACAAGACCCGTTTTCCTCGTCGACCTCGAGTCACCATGGACGGTTTTCACACTTCGATAACCAATTATTTGCTCTCGGCCCGACAGCATCTCCTGACCAGGCGAAGCGCGCCCTGGAAGCACATCTCGCCGAAACTGAACGACGTATTCAAGAAGCTTCGAAATTGGGAACCACGCTCGTGCAACAGCGCAAGGATCTGGCAGATCGTCTGAAAGATGTTGAGAGGCAGCAAAGTGAAGGAGACATTACGCCAGAATTACGGCAGAAGCTTGTTGAGGTAGAAAAGGAGTACAACGAGGTTGGCCGAGAGTCCGCGAGGGCATTTCTCCCGAAGTCGCGAGTCTCGAGTGCCGAAATGGCTGGCGGATCACCGTTCGCGGGTGACAAGGTGACACGCCCCTGGCCAAAATCGTCATTTCTCTATCTTTACTGACGTACCACAGCGTTCTGCAAGTCCGTCAAAATTTGAGAGTCAAGCCATAAATTCGCCCTCCAAGCTGAGTGTACCGAATCGGAAGCAACGAAATCAGCCCTCAAATCGAGTACATGATATCGAGTTTGCGACGGAGATCAGTACATCGCTTTTGTCACAGGTGCGCCATCTTCAGGCATTGTTGTCTGAGAGGGAGGAGTCCTTAAAGACCGTGACGCTGGAAAAGTCAAGGTTGGAGATTGAGGCGGAAGGCTTCAATCAGCGACTTAGGAGCCTCGATGAGAGTGAACATAGATATAAGGACGAGAACTGGAATTTAGAGACTCAGATCCACGGGCTTCTGGCAGCAGCAAAGGAAGCAGCTGATCGAGAAAAGAAGCTGAACCACAACCTCGGTCTCTTGCAGGCCGAAAAGAGTGCTGCACAAAAGGAGCTCGATGATATCAAGCTAAGCCATGCAAAGCTCGCAGAATTTCATGCGTCGGCAATCAAACACCATGAAGCTGAACTCGGAAGCGTCAAGCGAAGCATGACTATGGCCGATAACGAACGAGGTGCCTTGCAACGAAAGGTTGAGGATCTGACAGGCCAGAACCAGGAACTCGCTAGAGCTATTGCCCATCAACGAGGGAGATTGGATGACCGAGAACAGAATAGAGGCCTTACAGACGATGACATTGACACGGCTCCCGACAATGTCACTCCTGAGCATTCCCCGCCACCTTCGCCTATCAAAGGAACCCCTAGACACAGTATGCTCGAGTCCGAGACGCTGAAGAGCTCGTTGCATCACGCCCATCGGATGATCCAGAACTTGAAGGGAAACATTCACAGAGAGAAGACTGAAAAGCTGGAACTCAAGCGAATGCTTCAGGATGCTAGAGACGAGTTAGATGCCCGCCGCGTGGATTTTGGTTCCGGAAACGGGAAGAGAAACCGCAAGGTCGAGTCGAGGGATTTTAAGAAGCCGAAGTTGCCAGGCCAGCTTGGAGGATTGAGAGGTAGCAAGAGCGAAATATTCATCGATGATCCCAGCTGGGAGGAAGATGATGGTCAGGATAACCCGAGCCAAGCGGCGGCTGTGGCAGCTGCCCGAGCTGCTGCTGATGCCGATGGAGCTGGTCGATCAGTAGATAATTATATCGACGTCTTCGACACTGCCAATGAACAAGACTCGACTGACGCCTTTGAGACTGCAAATGAGCGCGGAACAGAAACCGAAGAATTCCAGACCGGCGCCGAAGAAATGAGCAGTAGCGACGAGCTCACGGAAACGGAGGGACCATCAGGGTCTGTACGATCAAGAGCAGCACCCATGGCTTTGACCAAGCCAGGTAATAGAAACTCCTTTCAGAGTACGGCATCTGCATCCGGTGACGAGTACAGCTACGAGGATGCCAGGACTCCAGAGGCGCAACTCCCACAAAGACTTCGATTGAGAGTCAGCCGCGGTCTCAACCGACGATCAAGAGCAGTGAGCGAAGACCCCCTATTCCAACAGAGTAGCCCTGCCAGTTTTGCGAGCAACAGCCGTGATGGAACTCCTCAAGCTGCCGGTCAGAGCTTGTTTGCTGAACTGGGTGACATGAGTGACGAGGAAGACTCGATCTTGGGCACTCCGAGCCGCAGCTGGGTCGCTTCTCGATCAATGACACCCACGTCACGACCCAGTACTGCAAGGCGTGCCCTTGATGATGTACCCATTCTTTTGCCATCGATACCTCCCGTTCCAAGATTGCCGATGATAGACGTAGGAGTGATGACCGACCCATGGGAGCCACGGCCAGCTACTCCTCCTATAACCGCCACTCCGCTGATTTATGGTGGCTTGACAGGTGCTGCTTTGACCGAGGCAGCACATATGGCTACTAGAAATGCTCCCACTGGGTTGGATGCTGCGCCTGTAATGAGTGATAATCACACTATGACCGAGCCTGAGCCACGAAATTCGACGAGCGACGGGCATACTTCAACCGACCCCCAACCAGCTCGCATTATGAACGACAGCTATACTTTAACTGACCCTCAACCAGTGCATGCTGTGTGTGATAGTCACACATCGACCGAGCCAGAACCAGTACGCATCATGAACGATCGCTCTACTGCAATGGATACGCCTGTCAAAGCGAACATGTCAGATGCTGCCAGTCAATGGCATGAAGAGCAATTGAAGGAACAGTTGGATCATCATCTTTTGTTTGTTGATGAAGATCGTACGAGACCAATTTCAGTCTCTACTTACAGCGACAGAAGCTCGCAGTATGATTCAGAAGTCATGCAAGAAAAGATGGACAAGTTCCCATCCCCACCAGCATCCCGTGCTCATACTCCTATGGCGAGCCTGACCGGTCGCGAGGCAACGGCGAATACTTTAACGATGTCCAGCATTCGCTCCGAGTATGTTGAGCCCGAGTCTCCTATCCTTTCCGATACTGCAAGCGAAGTTCGCCGAAGTACACCCGAAGCTGCTCCCAACCCAGCGCCTTGGGCTTTATCTGCCATCCAGTTCGTTGAAACAGAACCCATCTCGCCGCCTAGAAGTCCTCGAAGAGACGCTGTCTTTATTCCTAGAGACTACGATATAGAGACTACCAAGGAGGGACCAGAAACTCCCGACAAAGGTCCTGTCCTAGGTGATGTGTTTGGCGTGAACAAGAATAAGGCGCCCGCAACCCCCATCATTGCTGAGGATGATACTTGTCAATCTCCAAGTGACTCTCCTATGATGGAGACACCTGAGTCTCAACGTCCATTCAAGGAGATTTCTGGCAACCCTCACACTCGTCCTGTGAAGAAGGTCCATGTTGAGACCATCGATGAGAGCTCACAGACTGCACTGACAGCAACGCAGATCGATGAATTGCAGCGTCTTAAGAGCGGAGCTACTTCTCCTTCACGTGGGACTGCGAATCCGCTTGCTCTGCGAGTCAAGTCGCAAGAAAGCATTGGGAGTGGAGCCAGAGCTAGGTCGAAGATACCTGAATCCGACATCTTCCTGGATCCTTTCCCTGCAAAGAGACCTGGCAGCGCTGGGAGCGGACGCAATAACTCTATTACGAGTGTCCACCCGCCATTGCCTACGGATCACAAGCAGGTTATCGCTGCTGCGGCTCGGCGTTCGGGGTCATCATCTGGAGGAGCTGGCAGCATGAGTCCGCCGTCATTACCAACCTCTGCGCCCCGATCTGTTAATAGTATGGGCCCGCCGTCGCTGCCAAACTCTATACAGCGTTCTGGCTCTTCTTCTGGGGGTGTTGGCCGCATGGGTCCCCCACCAGTGCCAATTTCTGGCTATAAGAACCCCTTGTTCAGACCTAGAACACCAACTTCGCAACCACCTCAGAGTCCTACCTCTATGAAAGCTGGTACGACACCAAGACCAATCCACTCTTCTGCTGGCACTGCGGAAATTCATTCGCCTACCCGAACTGCCCGAACCGCCAAGTCTAGGGCATCGTCAGTTTCGTCCTTTGCGTCTGAACTTGATACCCGCTTCAACATGAGCTCCGGCTTGCCTCAAGGCGTTGAGCCAGGTACTGACCCGCGAATGATCAATGCTATTACTCAGACCATGATTGGGGAATACCTCTGGAAGTACACCAGAAAGACTGGGCGTGGTTCCATGTCAGAGAACCGTCACAGACGTTACTTCTGGGTCCATCCGTACACCCGAACTCTTTACTGGAGTGATCGCGACCCATCTGCTGCGGGTCGGGCTGAATTGAAGGCAAAGAGTGTCCCGATTGAAGCAGTGAGAGTTGTCACGGATGACAATCCTATGCCTCCCGGATTGCACCGCAAGAGTTTAATCATCATGACTCCAGGTCGTGCTGTTAAATTTACCGCAACTACCGGGCAACGCCATGAAACATGGTTCAACGCTTTGTCATACCTGCTCCTTCGAACCGGTGAAGAAGCTGTCGGAGATACAGTTTCTATGGCTAATGGTGCTTTGACCCAAGAAGATGTCGATGAGTTCAACCCAGGATACAGAAGCCAGAGTACTCGTCTAGATCCAGCTTCTCTTTCTTCATCTAACAGCCGCACAACTCGCCATGAGACTCCTGCGAACACCCAGATCGCAGCGCAGCCTTATCTGACTGCCTCGACCTCATCCCGTGCAACAATGGGCACATTCTCGCGGTTGAGCAGTTACTGGAAGCCAAGTGAAGCAGCAAAGAACGCCTCGTTCTCGAGTCGGAAGAGTAGGCAAACTCTCAGCGAGAACGGTGTAATCTACGATGCCAGCGAAGTCCATGACAGCGCCGAGGATCTGAGAGAGCAATATGAGAGGCAAGATCGGGAATCTGATAGACTGGAGAATGTCAGAGCATGCTGTGACGGTAAGTCTATAATCGCAAGGTTTAATGACCAATTTCTAACATTACACAGGCAGACACGACGTTGGTCACCTGCACAACCATTCCGTCAAAGGACGCCACTCTTCAGCAACCATCGGCGCCGCATCCGGTTCCAGCTCCCGAACAGGCCCAACTCCACGCAACAGCACCAAGAGCCGCCACAGCTCGTTGCGCAGGACGGACTAAATAATACGAAACTACACCTACGTACCTTCCACGCAATATCCTCGAACGAGGGCTCTTTTATGACCGTCATGTCTTTCCTTTTGGTCCCACACGAAACAATCGCCGAAACGCGCATCACGGCCTTGATCATACAATGATCCATTAGATTCCTTTTCCAATTTTTGTTTAATAAATGTGTAGGTGTTTGAGCTTTTGAGGATTTCCTTGGGGAGTTGAGATGCATTGATGTGTGTCAAAAAATACACAGGAGTGTGTGTTCTGTCAATTAATGCTTGTGGGTCTCTAGAAGGGGGGTAAGGGACACTGGTTATGTATTGATTCGAAGAGAGATTGACCGGAATTATTAGTGGTTGAAGGGGTGATTATATCAAGACTTTTAATCTCCAACCTACTCAGATTGTTCAAGTGCTGATGATGATATGTGAGGATATCATTGATATACCGTAAATGCTCGCTCCGATGGCGCATCAATCCTAGAGCATCCTCCCTCCTCTTAATACCAGATCGTCGTCACACCCAACACAATGAACGGTCCCGGCTCGCCAACTGCGAACTAGAGAACCTGTCTGGCTTGGATGATTAGCGGGTGCTCCTATTCGTCTCATTCCGTACTCTACTATTTCTCTACCAACCTCTTTTCTCTCCTTTCCTTCCTTCCTTCTTTCTTTCTTCCCTCGTTTTTTTCTTGGGGGTGGGTGTAGGTAGGGGTTCCGACTTCCTAAACCAAACGGCCATTACGAATCGAATCGGGTCAAGGAAGAGGGAAAGGGAAAGGGAAAGGGAAAGTTAGAGTAGTTAGTTAGCTTACGTACGGAGAGAGAAGGGGAAGGAGAGGGGGGGAGGGAGAGAGAGAGAGAGGACCTGACCTGAGATTTTCTAGAGAGAAACTCCCTCTCTCTTTCCCTCTCTCTCTCCCTCTCGCAGGTCGCAGGAGCTATGCAGTATAGTATATGCGTATATCGTAAAACGATTTTCAAAATTCACAGGGGGACGGGGTGCTTTTACGAAAACCGAAATGAGGTGGATTGAACGTGATTTGACTTCGTCTTTTTTCCTGAAGACCAGGCTCAGGCTCAGGCTCAGGTTCAAACTCAGGAAGTTAGGTAAGGCTGTCTGTCTGTCAGTAGATAAAGGTTCCTAGGAGGAGGAGGATCAGTCACCAAACCAAACCAAACCAAACCAAACCAGACGTAGGCTCCAAGCCAGAGCGGATCAGGAATTTTATTTCATCGGTCCACCCAACAGGTCCGCTCGCTGTCTGGTAGGCTAATCGGTTGAAACGTGTTTTTGGAGGTGGATGTACTACGTAGATTGTAGATTGATAGATGGATGGATAGATGGATTGATAGATAGATAGATAGAGAGACAACACCATCTTTCTTCCCTTCTTTCTTCCTTCCTTCCTTCCTTCCTTCCTTCCTCTCTTCCTCTCTTTCTTCCTCTCCTTCCCCAACATATCTCACTCGCAGTATCATGCCCTTCCCCTTACTTACTACCCGAGAAAAGGCCTCTACAGCAGCAAGCGAGACTCGACAAGTCTTTTGCTTGCTTGCTTGCTCGCTCGCCTCCGTACGTACGTACGTACCTACCTACGCAGCCGAGCAAGTCAGCTAGCTACCTAGCTTACTTTAGAAAGCCAAGTTACTATAGTAAGTGTAGGTACCGGTATCTACCGGTATTTTGATTCCATCAAGTGACATTGATCCTCGCTAGCTTAGCTCATATTACTGTAGCTAGCTCTCAGCTACGGAATGGAATACCGGTACCGGTACCGGTACCGACCGCATAGACCCCCTCCAGAGGGGCGCGGCGGGGCCTGCCAGTGTACGTAACGGGTACTTCTTCTTGTTTCCGAAACCTGATCAGTCGGTGCGTGTGGACGGACTGCCGCAAGAGAGGAAATTGACCTACCTACTAGATGAAATTACTACTAACTATGGTGGATCTGTAGACAGGGGTGAGAAGGTCGGGGAAAAAAAAAAAAAAAAAAAAAAGTAAGAGAAGGGTGGAAAACTTAACCGCTGTACCTCCGTACTCCGTAGATCCCCGAAATCGCCCTTAGTGAGCTTCAACAAACCTTCATAAGAATCTAGATCGATTGGCCCTTTGCACAGTCAACGCACTGATCAGTTGGGAAACAAAGATTTTACGTTATTGGCAGCCCCGCGGACAACTCTGTCGAGCTTATGCGGTATATGTACAGGAAGGAGATAAGCTGGGCTGGTATGAGCCTAGTCGAGTCAACCTCTAGCTTGGGAATCGTAGGTGAGGAAACCATGACTGAATGAGCCGGGCAGAGGAGTTGTGGTGGAAGTTGCAGCATAGAGAAATGTTTTCATTAAGCGTGAAGTAGGTACACGATGAAGGACGGAATTGCAGATGAAATTTTGACGTCAAAAATTGACCGTCCCTCATCCACATAATCCCAAATTCCTTTGCACCGCTTCAAGGCATCACGACGCTGCTCCCCCCATGCGCGCTACCAAGTTCGGCGCGAATCGTAATCACCTCTCGGGTCTGGCATTCCTAAACTTCGGAACAAATTAGCTAAGCTCTTCAACAAAAACCAAGTTGAAAAGGACCAATGTGCAAGAGAGCTTCAGTTGAAAGATGAAAAGTCTGAAAGTTTTTTCAGCACCCGGTAGCAAGTACCGTCAGCATTAGCATGGAATTGTCACATCATAAGCTCGCACCCTCTTCTACCCTTTGGAACCAAAGCAGAGTTTGTGTGTACATACCGTTAGCACCATCGAAGTTTTATAGCAAGCTGTATGTGTAGGATGTTTCTGTGGTTAGCCGACGTGGTCAGCACAATGCCGGATGAAGGATGCGTAGAATATAGCAGGAGGGCGAAGAGGAGTCCAAGCGACAGCATCAGGTAATCGAACCAGTTTGATCGTCATTGATAGTCGGCGGTTTATAGTATGTTTTGTTCATCATTTTTTTGCGTGGATCTTCTCTCCTCCATCCTCTGCTCGGATGCTAGATGGGTGGGTACTCACAGCTCGTTCCTATCTGAAGTGTGTTGTTAGCAGATGCCCGACGCTGTGTGTGTGTGCGGGAGGTGAGATGGGATATTTCGGAGAGGTCAGAAAGTCCGTTTGGTTAAGACAGGTTAATCACCACGAAGAGCCTTGTCAAGCTCGTATGATAGGGGCGACACAAAAGTTCATCATTTGAAGGAAGGATGGGAGGTGTTGAGAGGAGTGTTTGGAAACTTGCCATTTTTTTGCGCGCGCAATGTTGCATCGAGTCGGTGCTCCCTTTCAATCAGGTGCCATTGACTGTTGAATACTTCCAGTGCACCATTGCAGGTAGCCCGATTGCACGAGGGCGCATCACGAGTAGTGCGAAGTGCGAAGTTAGCTGATGTAAGGGATGACAAGACCTGGAATCCGAGATCTTTTTTTTTGTAGAGAAAAGAGTGGAGCACACTACCGAAGCGCTAATGGTTAGCGTCATATCACATGATCTTTGGTAATTCTAAAGCAGCCTGCCTCGGGTAGTGCCATATTTTGGATTTTGGTTTGTATAGGTACCGGTATTGATTTCAGCCTTTCGCCCAAGAATTCTTCATTTATCAGAATCTGACTCTCACTCATGCATCGGACAACAACGTCGTGTCCGTGCCCCTCTACCTATTTACCATTTTGATCCTAGCATCCCAAGCACTGTAGCCAAACGAAACGAAAGGACCGACCGCTTACATCAATCCATCTACCGGTACCCATCTCCTCCATCTAATGATAATGAACGACTCGACAAGACCATCCATGCCCCCGGATCCTGCTTCTCCCACCTGCGACAGGCAGACATACATCCATCTTCCGTATCCTCTCCATCAACAGCACGCACAGCCCAAAGACCGAGTTCAGACCGGGTCCCATGGTCATCCCATCCCATCCCATCCCATCCCATCCCATCCCATCCCATGCACCTCACCAAATCCATCCATCCATCCATCCATCCATCCATCCATCCATTCATTCAATCAATGCCACCCGATAGTAAAAGCGACTGACGGAGCCTCTTCAATACCACATGCTTTTCCGCTGACACTCACATGCCAAAAATGCAAAGATGCCACTCACTCACTCACTCCCTCACTCACTCACTCACTCACCCACTCACTCACTTTGCGCCACCAACGCCCAAAACGACAGGCTGCCTGCCATCTGTGGCAGCAGCCGCAGCCGCAGCCGCAGGAGCAGCAGCCTCTCGCATATGCACAGGTATCCAGGTCGACGCCTTCGCGGCCTGTATGTAGTCTACGGAGCTGCCTCACCTGGAGACTAGACGACTGTTCGACATCCAACACCCACCCAGCTTCGCTCAGGCGGGCGAACCGATGGTGACCTCGGTTCGCGCTGTCCACTGCAACGGCCACGGCCACGGCCACTGTCACTGCCAGTCAGCAAGCAGAACAAGCCCCCGAGTACCGACCGAGTCGCATGTGAGAATGAGTACCGTGCTCCGTAGGACCGTAGGAAGTGAAAGGCAGCAGCAGCATGCTTTGCCAGCGGACCTACCCGCTTTCCCGAACAGCTGTCAAGCTGCACCGTACAGATCATCAAAGCCCAGGTCACACGTCAAATCGCTGTCGCGTCAAGGAGAGAAGAGTAGCCAGGTCAGAAAGACTTTCTTTAGCGAGCAAGAATATATCTAGTAGCACGATAGCATCTCGGCAATCATCCCATCCCATCCCATCTCAATCCCTAAGTATACTACTACGACTACGACTACTACTAGCACAAGCCAGCCAAGACAACTGTATGATATACCGGTAAGAGAACGCCCCCCGGGGTGAGGGATATGCCAAGCAAAAATAAAGATCATGTATCCCCATCTCCCAGCCCGTCATTAATGCGTACCAAAAAGAATCGCACAGCCAAGAAAAGACCGCAAGTGTTGCTGCATCCTGTGCCCATTCAAAAACAAAAGACGTGAAGAAACCAGTTGTCGAGATATGCGCCATTTTCCACCACCCATCTATCTCTGCCTGAACTCGAGATAGAGAGTCGTACATGTTGTTTATGCTTGCTTCGCATAGTCATGCTCCGCCGGCTGGCTCGTACACTCGACCCGACTAACGATACATGCTTTTCGTTGCGTTGCGCTTGTGAGAAACATCTGCGCTGGCCGAACACGTGACAACCGCAACAGTGACGCCAAACGCAATGACAGCAGATTCCACACCCGTACGCCCAGCAGATGATGCCAGCGAAGAACTTGAACAGCCGGGCTCCCAAAGCAGCCAGAAAACACCAGAGAAGATGCGGCCATCCATCCATCCATCCATACCCCGTCGATTCCTCCCAACTCCACCGATCGTTCCAACCAACAACGCGCAGGGGGAATCTTATGATATGAACACCACGCTCCCAAGTATGTATGTGAAATGCGCAATGCAATGCTGTCCTAACTCCTACCCATGGAACCGAGTACCGAGACTTGTGTGAAAGATTAAGAGAGTAAATGAGTGCCGTAGAATCGAAGCCTCCGCGAACACCCGACTGAAGAGAATCTACCTCCCCATCATGTATGCGGGAGGAACACTGCCGTGTGCGCCATTGGCCATCGATGCTGGACCTCCAGCGGTCATGGGGTGGTAGACCGGGCCAGACCATCCACTGCTGTGTCCCGCGAATAAGTTCCCATTATAATGTGGTGCAGCTCCGGCGATGACAGCAGGGTATATTCTATTAGTTTGAAGGCCGGGCGGCGCAGCAAGGCCAGGTGGAGGCCCACTAGCCGTACTGAATGATGGTGGACCACCTAGCATCGCTCCGTTGATACCCTGCATGGCACCAGGACCATTTTGTGGGCAGGGAGATGACATTCCCTGACCAGAACGGACGCCAAGAGGATTCTTGGAGAAGCTCAGCCTGATCCCTCCTTTCACGCTGTTGTGAAGAGGGTGGCCGTAGAGCTCATGAAGAGCCTTGGTCGCGAATGAGACGTCCTCGAACTCAACAAAGCACATGGGTCCATTCTGCTTGGTTCTGAAGCAGAGACGCTTGTAGCCTCGTTGCTTCGAAAACATGGCCTTGAGCTCGTCCTCAGATGTGTCGATCGGAAGGTTCCCAACATATAGGGTGTTGCATGGGGGATTTTGATCAGCTGGGTTGACTGGAGGGAAATTATGTCGCTGGTAATGCTGACTCCCTAGTTGATAGTTGACAGGGGGACCTCCGTTCGTGAGCGGTGGAGACATTGTGTTGTTGTGAATGTTGTGTGGAGTAGGGGTAGCGAACGTCGATGAGATGGATGCTGGGACCGCAGCATTTGTACTAAGGGAGAGCCCATTCATGCGCGAGATGGGCAGCTGCGGAAGAGTCTTTCGGCGTCCCTGAATAGATCCATGCTCGGCATAACCGACTGGATCCTTGAGTAGTTCACCAGTCTCGTCATCATCGACAGAGTCATTGTTGATTAGAGACTTTCCGGTGATCCTGGTCCGCTCGTTCAAGTGATTGCCGATAGGGGATTGTGGGGAGAACAGACTTTGGTAGTGGGCGCTGTTCTCGGGATTTGGGAGCTCATTGCTTGGGTATGGGCCGTTGCTTGTTGGGGATACTCTTGGCTGTGACGCTTGGAAAGAATTGTTGAATCGCGATGCCTGACGAGGGGGTGGGCCACCAGATGACGCTGTCGAAGAAGTGGAACTGGAGGGACCAGGATTCGACGTGTTGTCCAAAGTGTACCGTCGGGATGCAGTAGGGCTGCCATACAATATCTCGACGATCATCTGTGCATCATTGGCAACATTTGGCTTCCCGTCGAGCATTTTCTTCGCCTCGAGAGCACCTGCATGCGACTTGAAGCGCAGTATCGCGGAACGAAATCCCGGATCTTCGGACCTGTCGGGCGACATCACCTCGGCTTCAATGAAATCCTTCGACCAGACAACCATCAACCTCAAAGTGTCCTCGGTTGTGTTGAGAGGGAGACGTCGGATCTGGACTGAGCAAGGTCCCAGGGCAAATGCGCCGGATCCAGAATGTGCTTGCGCTGCACTGGTAGCATTACTATCTTCCTTGAATGCGCTCATGGTAGCCATTGCCAGTGACTGATATGTTTGTTGGGAGCCATTGGAGGGACGAAAGACCTGGCCAGGTTGGGGGAAATTAGGAGGGTTCATGGCATGCCGCGGTGTGAAGGAGTTTGCGCGATCCGAGAGCGAGTAGGGCCGACCGTAGGAAGACTGAAATGCTGTGCTTGCGCCAGGCGGTTGTTGGACTGCGTTCATACCTCTGCTGGACAGATGCGATGATGGAGGACACGACTGGGGCGCTGGCAATCAATGTCAGGCCGCGCTCGAGTACCTGAGCGTGACGCGACGGTGACGATGCAGTGCCGAGTCGGGTCGAGGAAGTCGAGGAAGTTGAGGGAGGGAGAGAGGGAGAGAGGGAGGTATCGAGTCCGTGGATCGAAACGACGGGCGCAAACGGGCAGGCTTTGTCGCGCGAACAAAGACTGAGCGTGGGATGGAATATTGGAGGGTTCCGGTGGATGTGATGGAATGGGATAAGGGGATTCTGGTGATGGTTGTGAGCTGTGAGCAGTCGGATGGGGGAGTCGGAATCCAGGTACGCCTTGCTGAATTGGCCGTGCGACCTGCGGGCAATGGACGGTGCGGGCGTTGGGGGTTCAAGAACTCGGACTGGACTGGACTCGACTCGACTCGACTCGACTCGATTCGATTCGACTCGACCAGGCGAGCGTCGGGAGAGAGGATATATTTTCTTGCCTCTTGGGATCTTTTCTGGGATCTTTTTCCTTTTCTTTGCTTTGTTTCTGTTTTGGACTTGATCTTGTTCCAAGGAGTGTCGGGAAAAGGATGGATATGGTTAAGGTAAGGCAGAGATGAGGAAGTTCGAGACCACGGCCCCAGTCGGTTGTGATTGGCTGCGTGACTGGGAGGTGGGGAGGGGGGAGGATCGGATTGATAAGGCCCGCGCTAGCACCGGCGCTAAGATGCGAGTTTAGAGTAAGGAAGTAGTTGTGCCGGCCTAGGTAGGTAACTTTGCAGAAGAAAGGCGGGACTGACTACCGATTCAGAGCTGGGGAATGGTTGGTGTGGAGGAGGATGTGTATGCGGGAGAAGAAGCAGAAGAGAAGAAGAGGAGAAGAAGGAGAAGAAGAAGGAGAAGAAGAAGAAGATGATGATGATGTGATGATGATGACGAAGATAACGATGAGGATGGGCATCCTGTGGGGTGACCACTGACCCGGTGGGAAGAGAAGCGGGTTGGAGAGAGAAGGGGAAGCGGGTAGACAAAGCTTGGTTGGCTGCGAACAGCTGCTGTATACCTAAACTAAGGTACGTACCTACCTTAGCTCAACATACTACCGTACATATCTATTTATTCAGGGCCACCGATCCTGGGCTAGCGACTAGAGGCTAGAGGCGAGAGGCTAGAGGCTAGAGGCTAGAAGC